CCGAGCCCCGTCCCAGGCAGCCTGTGCCTGCAGCACTGGCACCCTCAGTCCTGCCATGAGGCATGGTTTGTCTGTCTATTCTCAGCCCAGCCCTCTGCCCTCAACCTTCACTTTCTAAGGGAACATGAAGCTGTCAGGACCCCCTGCGTACACATCCACCCGCCAGACAGGGCCGAGGGTGCACGCACCTACATGGGACTCATAGAGCCCACCAGAAACCAGGCCTTTCCTTGTCCAGAAGTTCCAAGCTTCGGCAGGATAGCCACCGTTGCAGCTACAAAAAAGAAACTCTGATTAAATTCATCATGAGGGAAGTTTGAGAGCCCACGGTCACTCCTGGGGCCCCCCCAACCCCCTCAACTGTCACAACAGTCCTCCTGGTCCCCAACCCAACTCATCCTCCCTAGATATGCCCTCCTTCCAGGTCACCACCCACGCCTGGAGAAGATGGACCTCTCACGTTCACGCCTCCTTCAAAGTAGGCCATATGTGGCCTTCATTCTAGAACGGTGATTCTCAACCAAGCAGCTCAGGTACTTATAAAAAACCCCATTGCCAATGGCACTGACTTAAGTGGTTTGGGTGAGGCCCCAGGTAGTTTTTTATTCTTGAGACAGGGGTTTTGCCACCCAGGCTAGAGGGTAGTAGCATCATCATAGCTCACTGCAGCCTCACTTCTGGAATCAAGCAATCCCCCTGCCTTGGCCTCTGGAGTAGCTAGGAGGACAGGTATGTACCATCATGTCCGGTTCGTTTTTTGTGTAACTTTTAGCAGAGACAGTACCTTGGCTGGTCTGGAACTCCTGGCCTCAAGAGATCCTTCTACCTTGGCCTCCCCCCACTTGCTGGGATTATCAGCTCCACTCTCTGTACCAACCACATTTGTTTTTAAGCTTCCAGATATTCCTAATCTGAGCCGAGGCTGGCCACCACTACTGCAGAACCAAGGCCAGACTTTAGCCCTAGTAGGCACCAGAGATCCAGAGTTAGTTCTGTGCAACCAACCTGAAGACCCTCAGAACATCCTTCATTACAGATAAAGAAACAGGCCCCAAGGCGATTACCTTTCCCTGAGCAGGAAAAGAAGCAAGACACAAAAACCAGACCTGGACTCCATGGTCTGCACAGATCTGTGGGGCCATCCTGGTTACAGGTACTTCCCAGAAAGCAGCAGCCAGATCAGGTCCCACTTCCAGATGCCCCAAGTCCCTAACACTGTCTCAGCCAAGGAGACACCTCCTGACTCTAGCACTTCCCTCTCCCAGGGAGTCCCCCACGTCATTATTCTCTACCAGAGAGTGTCCTGGTGCCAACCCCGGACTCACCCGTCCCCACATTGGCCGCCACAGCAGGTGAGCAGGTCCTCTGCGGACACCTCCACACTGACGTGCCCGTTGGTGTGGATGCAGATCCGGTCAGAAATGGACTCCACAGCCCCGAAGGCCTGCAGGAACAAGCCACATCCAAGTGAGCAGGCCGCCACTTTGGACTGTGGCCTCCCTCCTCCAGCCAGCACCAGGACCAGAGCGCACCATCTGGAGAGCTACTGTCAGGGCAGGCTCGTGGGGCTCAGTCTCATATTCAAAGCAAGAGAAATTTACCTTGAACCCCTCTCCATGGGAACTCAGTTAATTCCTGAAATGTCTTTTTTTTTGAGACAGAGTCTCACTGTTACCCTGGGCGAGAGTACCCTGGCATCAGCTTAGCTCACAGCAACCTCAGACTCTCTGGGCTCAAGTGATCCTCCTGCCTCAGCCTCCCAGAATACAAGGATTATAGCCATAAGCATCACATCTGGCCTTTTTTTTTTTTTAATATAAATACACAACTTGTTCAAATGCCATGAGACCCCACTTATATGCAATCCATAGAGGAATCAAATTCAAAGAGACAAAGAGAATGGGGGTGCCAGGGGCTGGGGAGTCGGTGTTTGAGGAGATGAGAAGAGCTCCATGGATGGACAGGGGTTACAGTGCACAACAGGAAGAAGCTGCAGAACTATACCTTAAAAAGGTTGTGATGCTTAAATTCTCTATTACATGTATTTTACAGTGAAATAACACGACTAAACTTGTTGATGCAGACAGGGCACTCTCACGAAACAGAGCAGCACTCAGAGCTCCCCATATCTACTGAAAGGACAGAGGGTCAGAGAAAGGAAATCACTCCCCGCCCCATGTCTGTGGGGCTTCCATCTGCAGGGCCTTGCACACCACTCCACCTAATCCCTGCATAACTCTGGGCCACAGGAAGCATTGTTATTTCTATACTAATGGAACAGATAGTTTACGTAACTTGTCATACATAGCTGGCCCCACCCCAATCCCCCTGACCACTCCCCACCTATGCCCACCGGCCAGGGCCTCACCCAGCATGAGCCACAGGAGCCCTGGTCTCTGATCTCCTTGATGGTTGGACAGTGTGACCACTGCTCCCGCGCATCGAAGCTCTTAGGCAAATTCATGTCCTTAGCAAACTTCACTCTGGATAAAGGAATGTCACTGTTACAAGCTCCTTAGTCTAGGACTCTCTCTCCCACCCTGCAAAAGCTTCTGGCATTAGCAGCAGCTGACCATGGGCAGGGTTACACTCGCCTCAGAAGGAAGTGAGCACAAGGTGTACAGGAGAACCTGCAGGAAGGGTTCCCTCAGAAGGTCACAGAGCAGAACCGAATTCTGTGGCTCAGGGCAACTTATCCCACATGCTTCTTTCTTGACTGACTTAATGGAGACTTTTCATTTATCCACGGGGTCCAGATAGTGTTTGTGGCTTGGCCCATCCTGCCCTCCCCCAATCATAAACACCTGCCCAGGATCCTCACGGCACCTGTAACCTCGTCACCACCATGAGATGGTGGCTGCCTGCAACTTAACCATCCCATCCTCAGACATTTCCGATGCTTGTTAAAAAGAATAATATTTGCATGAAAATGTCCACTGCAGAGTTTTCTAGAAAAATAAAACACCAATGGCAATCAGATGGCTTGTCCTGAGGCTCTACAGGCCAGGAGGTATCCCTCCTCCTTCCCACTGCTCACGTGACCGTGGTGCTGGGGGAGCAGCACTTACCTCTGGGGCAGCTTGGGCCCACCCAGGAAGGACCCGCACAGCCTCTTCAGGTAGCTCATGTCCACGTTGCGGAAGTTGTGTCCAGCCTGAAAGACGGTGGTGCCTGAGACAGTCTCCCACACACAGCCCTGACCCAGAAAGGCCAGGGACCCCACCTAACTCAGAGACACGAGGGTTGGGCACCAAGCAGGCTGGGGTAGGGTTAGGGGACAGCCTGCAGTGACACCTGGGCAAAGCACAGCTCTCACACCTGTGGTGTCTGCTCTGACCTGCTGAGACAAGAGACCCTCTGCAGCCCTGAACACAGCTTATTCCGCACATCTCGGTTCCTGTGATTCCCAGGCTGGGCAGAAACCAGAAGGGGCCAGAGCTGACCAGCCTCACCCAGGGGGCTGCACAGGGCCTGCCTGGTATGTGTATGGGACAGGGAGGGGTAGAAGGGTCCTGAGCTGCCAGGACTCTGGGTCAGCTCATTCTTTAACTGTCCAGAATGTTCTATGGGCCACAGCTGGAGCCACCCCTCTCCCTGGAGTCAGACTGCACGGATCAGCAAGCAGAGGGGACATCTTCAGGGAGCAGCCCCACAGCCCACCTGCCACGTGGAGTTCTGCTTGTTGATGAAGTTGACCAGTTCATCTGACAGGGGATGGAAATAGGGCTTGCTCCAGGCACTGGTCAGCACCAACAGGCAGCAGAGGGAGGCCAAGAGCCGCCACATGTTGGATCCTAGGTCTACCTGGAAAGGACAGATGACGTCAGGGTGCTTCTCTTTCATTTGAATCCAGTGCTTAACCCACAATAGGGCACCGTCTTAGCTGTTGTCCTGGCTGTGGCAGAGAAGCCCCAAGGATCCACGGCCTCACCTGCAAATCCCAACCCACGCCCACAGCACAACACAACCATGTGCACACCCCTGAGAAAGCCAAGGCCGGGCCCAGGCCCTCTCAGCTAGTTCTAAACTGCTTTGTGGGGACTTGTAGGACAAAGTTTGGAAGACTTTTCCCGAGTCAGGGATCTGAAAGTGTAAAGGGTCCGTGTGACTGTGCCTGAGTGGAGGGCCAGTGGGATACCACGGGCCCCTCCCCATGCAACACAGGCCGACATGTGCTGGGTACCGGCCAGCAGGTGGAGACTGCGGGAGCAAAGCTATTTGGCACCAGCCTCCTGGGATCCTCTCTGGTTTTTCCAGTCAGCCAACGGCTCTGCTTCCGGCTTCTTTGGAAGATGAAGCTTTCTAGAAAGGAGGATTTTGGTCATGGGCTGGCTTGTGAGTCAGAAGACACAACTTAGAGCTCGAATTATGAGTCACCCTCCTAAGCAGACGGCTCTAACAAAAGCAAGAAGCATTTCCTGGACAGGGGCCTGCACTGGGGAGCTGGGTGAGGTCCTGCCCCTCACCTCCAGGGGCTTAAGCCACAATTCATCTGGAGGATAAACAAGTGAGGACAGTAAGATGGTCCTGGAAGAGTTCTGACTGAAGCAGGCTCTCTGGGGCAGCAAAACGTATTCTGAAATGCTGGGCAGTACTGGCCTGGGGACAAAGCATGAGACAGCAACAGACCCCTCAGAAACACCTTTCTCCCCCAATGTGGGGATCAGGGGCGGCGCCTGTGGCTCAAAGGGGTCATATGCCAGAGGTGGTGGGTTCAAACCCAGCCCTGGTTAAAAAAAATAAAAAATGTGGGGATCAGTGCACCCACAGGGCCAGAGGAAGAGAACAGACTCACAAGGACGTGTGGGTAAGGCTGAACTTGAACTTGACTCCATACTCACAGAAGTGCCACTTGCAACAAAGATCTTAAGTACAACATAAAAGTCAACACTTTAAAAAAGGTAACACTAGAGGAAGGAAAGCCTACAACTGGCATAAAATACAAAGTTTCTCTTTTAAAATAAACAAGAGAAAAAAATAGTGCTAACCCATATATGCTATGGCGTCTTGTCCTTGATACACAATAGCCTGTTGCAAATCAGAAAACTGGAAACTGTTAATGGAAAAATGGTAACTGAACAGAATTCTTTCTGACTGAACAGAAAGAATTACAGGACACAGATGGAAAGAGAAGTTCAACTTCAGGGAGACACAGAAAGAGCCATGGTGATTCGTGTCCCATCTCAGGTCAACGAAGGCTGGACAGGTCAGTGCTTCTCAGTGGGGCCCAGGACGTGGGGAGTCGGAGGCCAGCCAGCGAGCACTCAGGGCTGGCTACAAACAGAGAGCCGCCCAGTGACACCTGTTCCTTTCTAAATCTTCATGCGCTCTGACTCAGCAATCTGACATTTAGAAATGCATCCCACAGACACATTGGCCCCCAACTGCCAAGACACAGGTACACAGGAGTTCATTAAATGTTCTATTTCAGGAAAAGAGTCAAGTAAAGCAAGTGGCTGGTAACAGAAGCAACTGTTAAATTTTGGGAAACAGCTCCACAGAACACATAGTAGCACTAAAAAAGGAACCAGCTGGAGTTCAGCTGTGCTGTCCTGAGGAAGTAAAAATGCCCCAGTCACTGTCAGGAGGGAAGAAAGCAAACTGCAGAGGATGGACTACCGTGAGTGTGGGGGCCCCGAGTCCCGTCCTGCACACAGAGCCGTGTCCATACAGATGATGGCAAGAAAGCGCAGAGGAGCCAAGCACTGTGGCAAGGAGACTGTTCTTTTTCACTATCTTTGCCTCTTTTGGGGGGGGCCTTAGCTGGGTTTGAACCTGCCACCTCCGACATATGGGGCCGGCACCCTAATCCTTTGAGCCACAGGCGTCACTCCCTTTTTTAATGAATATATATTCCTGTTACTTCAAAGTTTTATGTTTCTGTTTGTTTGTTTTTAAGAATAGTAGCAGTACTACCCAAGGCCTAGAGCCACCAATTCAATAAAAGAACATTTGTTCTAATGACCCCTTAGTGTATTTCCAATTGACTCCCCTGCACCAGGGAGGCGTCCTCCCTAGTGAGGTCCTGCTTCACCTTCCCTCTCTCAGTGAGGCTGGGGCTGGCAGGTCTCACACGACCACATGTGTCAACAACCCCTGCAGCCTCCAACCCCAGTGGAAACAGGTCTCCTGGACAGACAGACAAGGCTGCTTCTGACTAACTCTTGACATTTTCTTTTTAGAGAGAGTCTCACTTTGTCACACTTGGTAGAGTGCTGTTACGTCACAGCTCTCAGCAACCTCCGACTCCTGGGCTTAGCCGATTCTCCTACCTCAGCCTCCTGAGTAGCTGGGACTACAGGTGTCTGCCACAACGCCCAGCTATTTTGTTGTTGTTGTTGTTGCAGTTTGGCTGGGGCCGAGTTTGAACCCACCACTGTCAGTATATGGGGCTGGGACCCTACTTACTGAGCCACAGGCACCGCCCAATTTTTTTTGAGCCAGAGTCTCACTTGGTCACCTATGGTAGAGTGCTGTGACATCACAGCTCACAGCAACCTCAAACTCTTGGGCTCAAGCAATTCTCTTGCCTCAGGCTCCCAAGTAGCTGGGACTACAGGTGTCTGCCACAACACCTGGCTATTTTTAGAAATGGGGTCTTGCCCTGGCTTAGGCTGGTCTGGAACCTGTGAGCTCTGGCAATCCAGCCGCCCTAGCCTCTTGGAGTGCTGGGATTACAGGTGTGAGCCATCATGCCTGGCATTGCCATTTTTTTTAAATTGTCAATATCATCAAAGATACACTTGGTGTTGGAACCCTCTTCCAAGACAAGAGGGGCTTGTGAGAACCATGGGTGTCCATTTGCTTCAGGTAGAAGCTCAGACTAACAGCCCCCTAGAATCCCCTTAGGAAGGGTCACCTCCTGCCCTCACCATCACTGCTCCAGGGACACGGCTGCTGCTCCCAGCATATCAAACAGGAGTGCCTCCCTGGCGGCTTAGTGTCTCTGTTGAGATATTAAATAATAAGCCAAATGGATAATGGGAGCGCCTCCATGGCAACCTGGATTTTTAAAAAGATTTCTTTAGTTTCTGTGCTGGCAGGGAACACAGGCACCCCCATGCCCCAAATGGCTCACACTCCCACCTGCCCACCTGCCAACACCACTCCCGTGTCCCGAGGGGTCCCCTTGCCACGTCACAGCGTAGGGTGTCACTGCACTCACCCCTCTTTCCCTTGGTTCTGCAGGTCCTCTCCACGTCTGCCATCAACTTCATGCTCCCTACTCATCACTAAGCTCCCTGTGACCATGGACTATGGACTGGAGCCCCGACCCATTTGTTCTGGGCTGAGCACTGGGAAGCAGCCCTTTCAGCCCAGGGCTGGGGTCCTGGGGGGGCGGGGCACCAGCTGCTGTAGCCAGGTGTAGAGGACAAGCTCTGTGCTCACAGTCAGGAAGGCCTGCATATGATAGCAGCTCTGCCTCTTGCTAGCTGGTGTCCTTGGGCACCCACCATTCCCCCAGCCACACTTTCACCACCTGTAGAATGGAGCTAATGACCACCCATGTCCAGGTGGAAGTTGAGCATGAACTGACGAGTCCGAAGCCGCTACCCGGTACCTGGCATGCAATAACCATGACTGCCCACTCCAGCAGGCCCTGCTCCCTCCTTCCCTTCACCCCATCCCCCACTTTGAGACCCCAGGTAATTCCAGTTCATGTCAAACCTATTCCAATACCACATGTCACCCAGAGTCTAGACTAAAATAAGCTTTGTAACCCTAATTAACCTCCACGTTTAACATCCAAAAATGCTTGTGACCGCCGAGAGTCCAGAGCATAGGAACCCCAACTGTGCCGTCTAGGAGGGTCAGACACAGATGCCCTGAGAGCAGTGGCAATTTTACTCCAATGAGTGTCAGATACCTTTGTCCCTCTACAACCGAACAAACCTCGAAAATTTTGGACAAATGCAGATGGTGAAAATAACCAGCTGTGCTGTTGATGAGGCAGTCATGGGACAAGCCAGTCACGGGGTCTTAGCATGAAGCAGCAACCCACTCTCACTTCCTCTGGTGTAGGCAAACACTCCCTTTATTTCTCAATTCTGTGTTTTTTTTGGATCGGTGTCTTCATTTACAGGAGATGATGAACCAAAAGTCCTTATTTCACAAGGGAAGGAGGCCCCAACAGGAGGACGCTTGCATGCCACAGAGCCCTTCAGGACAGGGGCTGCTGGGAGAACTGGCAGGCGGACGTCAGTACTAGGGGTCAGCTGGGCCACTCGGGGCACACCTGGGTTCCACTGCTCCACTCTGTCCCTTTTCCAAGCTAATTTCTGGCTTTTAAAAAATGAGCTATGCTTATTTCTTTCTTCCTCAAACTTGTAGAGCACTTAACAGTTTCCATGAACGCATGTCCCACTGAAGTCCTGCAGAATGCTGTCATTTGGAAAAAAGGAGCACGTGGCCAAGTGATCCTATCAACCAAACAAAGCACCCTCCTCTCCAGGCAAAACAGTTCCCTGACCATCTGGAAGCCATTCCCATGACAAAGACAGACCTTGAGATTCTGGAAGGAGAATGAGCATTGGGGGTAGGGGGGGGACACCGCGTCACAGGAAGGTTTAAGTCCGCACACTCTTTCAGCTGCCTCACACTTGCTCACGAAAGCTTTCTTACAGGATTAAAAAGCCCTCAGGCAGATTGGACTCTAAATCTGTAAAGGATTTAAGGAGAGGGAGACAGATGCCTGAAATTTCCATAAAAGCCAACTGCAATCTTCTGGCTGACACAGGAAAAAAAGTGAATGTATTTCCAGTAGCCTTCACCCAGTACCTTGCTCTTCCCTGCCCACAGGCCCT